TTTTTTATCTCTTTCTCTTTTTCTCTTCCGCCACTTATTGCGGCACTTTCGTGAGTAAGCTTCCGCACGGCGATAACGCTGAGAGGCGGCGACGATAATTTCTCCGATTCGAGCTGGTGCACGGCGGCGGCCTTATTTAATAATTAGTACATAATGAAACGGCATCCGAGAACAGTTCCGTACGCCGCGTTTCTTGCGATCTCGATCGCCGCTGCCGCTCTCAAAAGTGTCCAGGCGGAGGGCGAGCCAGAGGAATCATGGAAGGAAAATTTTATCGTCCCTCATGTTTATCTGGAGGTAGAGATAATTCAAGCTCGATTGCACTCACTACATTGTACTCGGAATTTGTCGATGAGATTAATTCAGTGTTGCTTTGGCTAATGCGTACCATAATATGCTTACCTTAATGATATTTAATCGCCTGTAGCGAATTTCGTGGTGATGACTGAATTTCCGCGCAAGAGCTATTATATTCGTGAATATAATGATAACATCAGAGGCGACCTGCTAACTGTTTGCGTGCCACGATTAATTCCAACTTTCGGGAGAACTTGCGTCTCCAGAATTGCGCCTGATTAAATGTAACCATGCAATCTAGAAGAATCTACGATCTTAAGAAGATAATGGATTTATGTAGTAAAATTGTAGATTTACGAAGCAGACATCACGTAAATATTAACCAGCTAAGTGAATTGCAGCAATTTGTTCATCTGTGATCGACTTTAATTGACATAACGACTCGGACTCAATTTCCTATATTAACTGTAATTGGCTGTAACACGCGGAAAGGGACCAACGTGAAAACGCTGCGTAATACAGCAGACCTAGTCATCGGAGAATTTCCGCGGTAGCGTGGATCTAAAAATAATTTTCTGATAAAAGGGTATGGCAAATGGAACAGGGAAGTACCAGTTAATCCTGTTATGCATAATGATACATTCGAGATAACGTGGATCCGAAGATCCACGGGCGTTTGGTTCCTCTCCGCTCGCATCCACGGTCGTGGGTTAACATTATTTGTCTCCGTTCCCTCTGGCTCTCTACTCCTAGAAAACGACCGGCGTCGATGGTTCGGGAATGGCGGACGACGGCTCCGGGAAGCCCCGCGTCTCGCTATGCTGTAGCGTTGGCACTTTCCTCAGCGGGGACGACTGCGTGGAGGCCACCATGAGCGGGACGGTGCGGCTGCCGGCGATCTACGATGTGGATCTTGCACCGGCGAACGTCACCGCGAGCGACGAATATTTCAATTTTACAATATGGAATCCGTGTGTCGGCGCGAGACGATACTCTTTGAATCCACGCATGTACGAGGACGACCATTGGTACCTGCTGTCCAACGGTTCCGTGTTGCTGCCGCTGCTCGAGGAGCCGGAGGAGCGTGTCCTGAACTATGACCAGTACTGCTTGGCGCGGGTGATAAGCTACGAGTATCCGGAATACCAGATGTTCTTCTGCGATGAAGTGCCTCCGGACGAGAACAACGTCGTGTACTCCTTCGGCATGCTCGCATCCGTCCCGTTCCTGGTCGCCACGTACGTTGTCTACTGGTTGCTGCCTGACCTGAGGAATCTGCACGGCCGCACGTTGCGCGGATACGTCGGCTGCCTGGCGGTGGCGTACAGCATGCTGGGGGTGTTGCAGCTGACGCCGCAGGAGAAACTCCCGTACGGCGTCTGCATCACATTCGGTATATCCCACAGATGCGACTTCTATTAACTCGTGTTTACTGCGCAAAGAGGATTGATGCTAACTTGAGATTGGATTTGTGCTGTTGCGCGACGGATTTAATCTCCGATTAATTCACCGAACATCGCTGTTATCGATCCCCGAATCGTGGCGACTTCTCTGCGAATCGTTTATATGCACATTTATCTATCTCATATCCACTATGCATCGCATATCTTATGGAGGCCGCGTCAGACCGGATGGAGCGTGGTTTTAGAAATCCTGCGAATTAATGAGAGATCCGCTTATCGCGCGAGCGCGTGACAACTTTCTAAATGCCCTCGTACCTCTGCTTTTCCTGCAAATATCAGTGTTGATGAATTTGTTATAACGCCATTAATTTAACATATGCAAGTTGTTTACTCGACGGACGAGAAAATCAGCGTTCCCCTGCGAATGCATAAGAAACGTGTCGTATAACTAATTGCATACTAAAAGTTGTTTTCTTTACCTCGCTTCTATGCTTGCCTTGTACTTAATGTTAGCTGCCTGCTCTTTTCACTCGACTAATGTAGAAGATGGTTGTTGCCTATTGATTTGATGCGGGATTTTTGTTATTCGAAAAACCGCACGGCGTCAATTTACGTCAAGCTCGAAGATTATCCTCGGATGTTTAGAGATTCTTTCTTAAATCTAGACACTGAATGGCGAAGTGTAAACTAAAGTTTGAAACATCGTAATGACTCCTCTCGGCGGCTGCGAGGCGAACCGGAAGCTCGTGCGTCTCAGACCCCGGGAAAGTACTAAAAGCCCTTGAAAACAAATAAATGCGAACGAGCGTTCACGTCGCGCCGCACGTTTTCCCAAGCCGTACGCTTCCGGAAAGTAAACTGTAAGACCAGGGGGGATTTCCCCGGTGCTAGTTCACCATTCTTGGGCGAAAGAGGACCTGCTTTAACGGAGGTGCCTTCTTTTTCGTCGTTTTCATCCTGGCATGCACTTGTGCGTTAGCCGCGAAACAGGTTCGACCTTCGGACAACAGAGTCACCATCGCGGCGAAATCGCTGCGGACTAACAATATCACGCATATCCTCATTTCCGTAGTTTGCGATACTGTTGCGGTCGCCGGACATCTGACTACGAAGACTGCTGCGAGGGAAAATCAAGGCGGTTTAGTGAATTGGACGTGTCCAACGTGTCGACGATGCGTCGACGGGATCTCGCACTCTGGTGTTGCACGCTTCTATTCGTCCTCGCCTCCTCGTCCAGACTGCCGGGGAATTCCACGACGGCGAGCGATAATGAGCGGGACGATTCCACAGTGCGGTACGAGATTCACGCTGATGTTACCGCGACGAATCGTGGCGACAATGTGGAGGCGGTGATGAGATACGCGCGTGAAAATTCCACCCGGAACAACGACGACGTACAGTTTCGCGATGACACCGCGAATAACGGCCACGAAGATAGTGACTCGGCGCAGCACGAATTTCACGCGCGTCCCACGAAGGAACGCAAGGGGGGCGGCAATCGAACGCTGATAGAGCTTGACGCGAATTTCACGCAGGCCGACGAGATCAACTCCACATCGCGCGAGTCCTCGGAGAATTTTATGCAAGCCGAGGACAGGAGCAATTTCACGTTGTACGAGCTCGTTGGCAAGTTCTATCAGGATGATAAAAAGGATGTTGTTCCTTACGAGGCGTGCGAGAACGACACCTGCATTATGCTCTGCTGCCCCCCCGGCCATCACTTCATTAAGGAGCAATGCATTACCGGGAACACTTACTTTCCCCTCCCGGAGGTGTACGAGTACACGACGGGCGATCCGCTCGAGGGAAGTTCGATCGGCAAAAGGCTGAACCAAGTGTTTCAGCTGACCGTCCACGATCCGTGCATAGTGCACGAACACTACGTGCTCGAGCCTAACATTGATTTAAATGACACGTATAGGTTCCTCGTCAACGGCTCTCTGCATCTACCGTATACCGACCAGTTAATCGACGATACATACTGCCTCGCCGTCATGGCCCACGACAAGTACGAGATAGCCGTTTGCATTACATCGGACGACGTTGTCCTGCAAGAGGATGGATACCCCGTGGGTCTGATAATATCCTTGCCGTTCCTACTGGCGACATTCGTCGTGTATTCCATACTGCCGGAGCTCCAGAACATGCACGGCTACACGCTGCGCGGATACGTTGGCTCATTGTTCGTCGCGTACACGGTCCTCGCGGTAGCTCAGCTGATCCCCGATCAGAGAATAGTAACGGACACCATCTGCATCACATTTGGTACAGCATACAATCGCGTGTTGATTACTCTCTGAAAAATTATTAGAGCCTTAGGAAAGACGACGAAATGAATAGGGAATGAAATGTAAATCTTGCTACGCAATCAGAACTTGGAGATTCACTTGGATATAAATATCGTGCTCTTTCCCTTTTCTTTTCGCCAAGATTTTGCAACATAGTATTCAAAGCGAAATCGAAAAAATTTGATTCAGCATAGTGCAGATTATCGCAACTTTTTTCATCAAGGTTTACCGTTTTCGACTACAAATTCCTGATGCGAGAAAGACGGAGTAAACCTGTTCTTTCACGGGCAAAGGTGTGAGCCTTTATTACCGACATCTTAATGCGTGATTAATAGCTGTTTATTTGACTGTTCCAGCCTTCATCATCCACTTCTCGTTTCTGGCAAGTTTCTTCTGGCTAAACGTTATGTGCTTCGACATTTGGTGGACATTCGGGTGAGCAATCGAAATATTCCACATTACACTATGCCTGCAATCAAATTATCTCCCATCAACAATGTTGTGACATTTCTCGAACGAAATGGGGCACGATACACCGAAAAATCTGTATTCTTATTTCAAGTATATTTCACTTATTTTTAGAATATTTTCCTCTAAAATAAGCACCAAGAGATCCTCTTTGTTTAAGAGGGGAATCCTCTAAACAGGATATTCTTAACATGTAAGAATATATACTTAATGATATGTTTTCTTACGAAATATGTTAATTAATATCTGGGATTATAAATCATTACAAAACAGTTCTGCAAAATAAACATTTACATACATAGCTGAATATTATTGTTTGTAATTTATATATTAAAGTTTATCAATTTTTATCAATTTTATTTTAGCTTATCGCTTAACATATACGTATTAAATTTATTAAAATGTAACACATATATGTGTATTACATTTTACATATATTACAGAGTGTGCCCGAAAGATATGTAAAAACTGTTGATTCTGGTAAGAAGATTAACAGGATCCATGAGCATTTTTATTTTATATTTCAAATACTTACTCAATAAATATCTCGTTCAAATCGCTTAAATCTTCCTCTTTTAACCACTCAGCTACTTTCTCATCCATTATTCGAGCCAGGACACAAAGAATACCCGAAAGAGGCACTCGTAGTAACACGTACCGGCACGCACTGCACGGTGGATATCGTGCATACGAAACACAAATGCCATCGCTAAAATTGTCTCACAAATAATACATTCTTAAGAATATATTATATTCCATAAACCGTGATGTTAAAAAGGAAATATTCTTATTCATTAAGAATATTTATTAAGAGGACTTGTAAAGTATAATTTTAAGAATACAATTTTTTCGGTGTATGTATGGGGCCTGAATTTCGAAAATAATCATTCTGAAAAGTCATCTCACTTTTCTGTATAATCGATTATCTATATTTTATGTATATATATATAAATTGTAATTACGATCTCAACATTAGTTACGGTTTACCAAGGATAAAATGTTTTCAGATCGAGTTCTAGGTCGAAATGAGTTAATTGATTCGTCAAATATTTCCACAAGCGCCACTCGATCCGGCGCTTGTGGTAAAGAAATTTGATAATTGACAAACACTGGGGGAAATTGATAGCGACAGGACGCGAATTAATATCCGGTACGTGACCGGCGTGCGTATGCGGCGCAAACACAGCCGAGTTAATTTTGATCTCTCTCGCGGTCGGACGTCGGTCCGAGAGGCCATTCGGAGAAGCAATATTCGGCGAGAGGAAAATGTCAGTAGAGCGCATATCCTCAAACGTTCAACGCACCGCGTGAACGTACGAACGTCGTGCACGCTCATTTATCGATGAATGACTCGTTGATAAATATACAGAGTCTGTTTAGATTAAGGCAGCGCCTCGATGTATTTTCCGAAATGAGATTGAGAAAAAGTTGCGACGCAAGTATATAAATCATCATTCGTGTCGCGTCCGTCAACTTAACAATCGTTTAACGTTTATCGCAATGCAAATTGTATGTACACGTTCCAATCGCGCCCGCGATGAGCGCGTCCTTTGTTATTACGTTACTCATCATGCGCGTTCGTGCGGAATGCTATAAAGTAATTTATTATCTCTCGCGTGTCAATGAAATTTCATGACGCGATATTGTCGTGTCGCTATTTACCATTCCCGCAGCGGAGATGAACTGACCCGCTGTCGCCAAGCCCCGTTTCACCCTACTACAAGGGTGTGACGACTGCTGTGTACGCACGTTGCCCGGTCTCTTTGTAATCAATTACAAGAGTGTGCCGAGGCGGGCGTGCAGCGGATCGTACTTGGAATCGGATTAATTTCCTCTTTTATTGCGTGCCCGCATCATCCGCGCACATCATTGTCATCGCCACGCGCGTGTCCTCACAGAAGCGTGAATCATCCTTCGGCTTAAGAAGATTTGATGTGTATTTATGCCATTTTAATAATCAGCTTTTAATTTCAATCCTTCCACCTTAGCCTCCTCATCCATCCATTATTATCCCTCTATGCTTTCCATTTCTCATTTCACACGTGTCCCATATTGCATCGATTGCTACAACTAAAAGGAAAAAATCATTAATTTACGAAGAAATTATTATATGTAAGGTATTCGAAAAGATTACATTTTCTATCTTTATACAAAACTCGTAGCATTGAAACTTATTTGCGCTGCCAAAGAGCTACTCATTAAATTAAGATTGACAGGATCGATAAGAACAATGTAATATTTCATAAAGCCCTCGGTTTTTTAATCAAATTTTGTATACGTTTCTTAAATAAACGTAGAAAATGAAATTGGAATATTAATAGTAGCAATTTTCAATTAGTAATTACGCACCGTGGTATTACGGTTTAACATGCTGGTCATCGAGTACCGCGACCAAAAGCGATAATTATTTTAATGTGCATTTGCATGTTCTACTTGTTGCTGACTCTACACAGCATGTAAATCACATTTCGCAGAGGGTTCCGTTCGTTACAAGGAAGCATGAAGCAGCGTGAGAGAAAAAAGTTTGTCATGTATTCGATTTACGCATGGGGAAGCGCTTCCATCCTCACTATCGTTTGTGCCATCATGGATTTCGTTCCCAGCGTGCCAAAGGAATTGATCCGACCGGAGATTGGTGCCACGAAGTGTTGGTTCAACAGTAAGTGAACCGATAGCTCACGACAGAGTGACGCTCTTATTAAAACCATACGATCAAGTCTGAAAATTGAGCGCTTACAGAATGCCCGACGTATAAAGATTGACTCGAGAAATTAATTCTTTCCATTTCAGCGGACGAGGCGAGGGCGATATATTTTTACGGGCCCATGAGTGTTACCGTTATCTGCAACATTTGCCTGTTTATCTCTACGGCGCTAAAAATTGTGCGCCACAAGAAAGACACGGCTCATCATTTGAGAAGCTCGGAAAGCAGACGCCACGACGACAATAAGCAATGGTTCGTACACGAGCAATTTTGTGCATTAATACGTGATTAATTATTAATATTATATATCCGTTGCGGAGCCGACTTTGCATAATGTCGATCGGTCCTCGTTCCCAACGCGATGATTATTTTTAGACGGCAACTTTCCCATGCGGCGGTTTGCTTTCATAATTACGAAATCTTTTGAAGCAACAAACACATCGTCGCCGTTTAGATCGCGGCGCGCACACGAGATTCCTCGTGAGCGTCTGCGATTCTCGAGAGGGTTGACATACGATCGTGCGAATAAAATCAAAGTGTGATTTGCCCCTATTTCGCAAAGGCGGAAGTCGTTCGTCTCTTCAAAATTTCTTAAGAAAAATTGAGCAAAGCTCTCTCCCCGTCTCTTAGCTCGAAACTTTCTACTAATAATTACGATTTCCCGAAGATATCGCTCTTCAGCGACTTTGGTTTCATCGCCAAGTCCCCGGTTATTAATATATTATAACTTGCGTTCGCACACAGGTTCAATCTGTATCTGAAGTTGTTCATCGTGATGGGCATAAATTGGTCCATGGAAATAATATCATGGTTATTCAAGAGCGCGCCGCCGTACGTCTGGTATCTCACCGATCTGACAAACACCCTGCAAGGCCTCATCATTTTCATCATATTCGTATGGAAGGAAAAGATTAAACGGCTGCTGTTGAAGCGATTCAGTTGCCAGGATCGCGGTTTATTCTCGAGAAACTCGACGCACAGCGGCGTTCACAGCTCAGCCTCGCGCACCTGCACCACCACGTCGGGGATGCTGTCGCTGCAGGAGAAGGTCAATCCCTACGTGCAAACAAATTGCCGCGCGAAGAGCTCGTCCGATGAGGCTGAATAATGTTGTAACCTGAGAAAATGATTCAATTATGTGAATCAGACGAATGATTAATGAGTAATTGGGCGATGCCGTAATTTAATTCTCTCGAGAATTATCTTAACATTGCTCGCGTTGATCTCTTTATTTTGGAACGACGAGATTGATGGTTTCCGTCGTTCTCGTTCTTTATATTCCTTTAAAAATGTACTTACCAAGGTTTTTTTATCTATTTCACAATCCAAAGATGAGAGAAATTAACTAAATTACTCTGCATCCATTATCGACCTCGTTGAAGTAGCAAGTGTATTGTATATCATGTACATTGACTGCCGTACGCCATAATGTCGTATAAATTTATTTTAATGTGTAGAGTTACGTCATCATTATATCACCATCGATAATGTCTTGATAAAAAGGCTACGGATAACCAACTGATTTCAACTTCAATTCTAGCACATTGATTGTGCATCAGAGAGACTGTATTTTACATTCTCTTTTCTTTTATATTTATTTTCGTTATATCAACACGTGGTCTACATTTCCACCGCACAAATAAGTGTTTAATATTATTAAATCATTTCAAGAAAAAGAAAACAAATGTTTATATAAATAGATAAAATTTTTAAGACTATGTTCCGGCCAGGGTTGGGAAGTAACTTCGTTACTTGTAACGAAGTTACAGTTACAGTTACTTTTTTTTGGTAACTCTAACTTAACTTCGTTACTTTCTCTCCATCTGTAACTGTAACTTAACTCAGTTACGTTTTTTCGATAACTAGTAACTAATTTGATAGTTACATTAAGAGTTAAGCCAACGGCACACGATACTATTTTTCCTACTGGATTGCTTACGAGAGCCAATCAGGACGCAGAGTTTTCGATCAGGTGACTCAAAGCTGAATCCTGGTTGGTTCTCGTAAGCAATCCAGTAGGAAAAATAGTATCGTGTGCCGTTGGCTTTACTTTATATGTATTTTAAACCTCCACAGATCGCATTAGGTCTTGCATTTGCACATAAACGCTTTTATCAACACTTTATAATTCAAACACAGATATGATACTTTTATTTTCATTGCAAGAAAGTAGCTGCAAAGTAACGATTCGTTACTTTTTGAGTAACTGTAACTGTAACGCGTTACTTTTTAGAATTGGTAACTTGTAACTGTAACTAGTTACATTTTTACAGCGAAAAAACTGTAACTAGATACTTTTATAAAGTAACTTTCCCAACCCTGGTTTCGGCGCACAGTAAAAATGTGCAATGCAAATACCAACCTGTGTCACCGTATATTTTATATCACGTACATGTGATAGTATTACAATATGTACCTTGAAAATCCTTGTGTTGAGATAGACATTAACTCGTGCATCTCCATGTGCAACTTAAAGACTCTTTGATTTATTATGAGGTTTATCTACCGAGTTCCCTGGAGTTGCATTTCAATCGTATTATGTATAGAATATAGCTCTTCATTTAGCTTGTATGCTGTCACAGAATACTCCTGTACAAGTGCCATCACAAACATTCGTCTAATATTTAATAGTCTCGTCAGTTTTTATATATGTACTATTTAATACGCACCTACGAAATCGAAATATGGAAAAATGAAATGGGCAGAATTACAATAGAAAAGAGAATTTATGCACAGAATTCAACTTGGACTCTGCAATTGTTAAGTAATAAAGGCTTAATCTGTATTCATTACTATTACATGTATGTGTTTCTAATCGTCTACATATACGATAATTAGACGAGAAAATAAGAAATAAAGAGCCTTATACTACACGTACTCGCACACTACTCGCACACGTCCTGCACTCCCTCCAAACCGTTAATCAAAGTCTCGCACAAAGAGTTTATTTTACGCGAACATGTCTTCTCGATCAGCCCCAACGCCCTCGCCGTCTTCCAAACTCGAGAAGTTGAGGAAGTGGGCCGGCCTGTGCACCTCGTGATAGAATTCCTTTGGATTCGCTAGTTGTAACTCGTACTTCATGTTGGGATCGTGCCTCACGCCCATGAAGTTGTAGTTCCACGAGCCTTGACTGGGTACCATGAAAAAGCCGAGGAAACGATCGGACAGAAGCATCTGCACCTTCTCGTAATGGCTGGGTAGATAACCCTTCGGATTGTTGCCCTTGTCGGTGTTCTGCTTGCCCCATTCGAAGCCGCTCGGAGTCAGCTTGTACGCTGTGAGCGAGCAGGAGCCGGGCGTGAAACTGCAAGTTATAACGATCGTCTTTTCGCCGTCCCAGATGGAATTCTCCGCCATAATCCGGGCGTGAGTGGATATGTCCTGCGGCGAGAGCTGCGGCAGCTCGTTCGGCTGCGTGTGTATCCAACCTAGCGGCTCCATCTCCTTCAAATACTGATGGTTAGGTAGCGTATTCGGCAAATGAACGGTCTGATGAGTTCCCCATTGCGGCGCCATTACGATACATCTGATCTCTTTCACCTGTCACACGTAAAACGAGAGTATGAAATTACAGCTCAAGTGGATTTGATATTCAATATATGAAATAATAAGGCAATAATTACCTGAGGATTGTCGGGTGGACTGATGCCGTACAAATAGCCAGCTATTTGGGCTCGCAGATCCGAAATGGTGACAAATTTCTTGAGCACATTCTTAGGCAAGATATAAGTGTAGCCGGTTTCCTTGATATCATCGGACGAAACGTAGATGTGGTTCGTTCTAAGGTGGAGATTGGTCGCGGAGATGGCACGCACTCGCCATTCGGTCTTCGAGCTGAAAGTCTGCGTCTCGTAGTTGGACGTAGTCGCGGTGATGATCTCGTCGCCGTGTTTGTTGACCGTTCGCGTGGTGGTGGCGGTCAGCTGGCTCTGTTCCTTAGTCTGCTTCTCAATCTCGGCGATCTGTTGCCGTTGCGCGGACGGGGCGCTTATCTCCATGCCCAGAATGATGTCGCGGATCTCGGACTGCGTGAGCGACGCGACATTGACGTTGTTCTTCTTGCCGTAGTCCGCCAGGATCAGGTCCTTGAGTTGCACCTCCACTTTAATCCATTCGTCGTCCGTCAGCGACGGCCATATGTGATGCGGCTCGGTGATGGTGGTCTTGTCGGGCTTGAGAACGACCTTGGTTCTCTCGGTGTTGACGTGTAGAGCGCGTAGGATCAAAATCAATCGCGAGAACGCGGTGTAGGACGAGATGGTCTTCAGCCAGTCGTCGTAAAGATTGAACAGCACCATCTGCGGCTCGGTCGCCTTCAAAATCAGATCGCCAAACTTCTCCACTTTGAGACACGCCTGGAACGGTAGCTGCAACTCAGATCCCTTGATGACTATGTTGGGGAAGTCCAGCAAGTGCACCTCCAGCGGATCCAACATTCCCTTTCTGGTGACGATAATCTGCTTCGGTTGCTCCTCCACTGGCAGAGAGCGAATCAGCGCGGCAACTTCCTCGGCGGTCTTCCACTTGGCCAGCTGACCGAGACGCTTTTGGCCCGCCCAGACAGAGGTGTGAATAATCTTGAGGAAGAGCTGACCCGTGCGCGGATTGAAGATGAAGATCGCGCCGTTTATCGGCTTCGTCGTCAAGTTGCCCTCGAAGGTCTTGTGGATTGTCACACGATACACGTTCGTGTCGTCGACGAACCAGATAATCTGATTGGAGAAGAGCTCGCCGTAGTTTTGCGAGGAGAGGTAAGGCTCCGTCGGTTCCGACGAGTACAACTGCAGCGCCTTGCGGATACGCTCGCGTAACACGTACAAGGCCGGATTTGCCTTCATGATCTTCGCCATGGCTTGCTGTATGAGAGGTTTGCAGCCGGGGAACCAATTGCCGTAGGCGCTGTGCAAGTTGTACGCCAGATCGATGGCTATGAGGAGACCGGTGGGTGACGGATAGATAGACATGTTGTCCGTGGTATAGTCGAGAAACTTGGCACGAGCGTACCGCTCGATGTCGTGCGAATCGTAGTCGCCCCATCTCAGCTGCACGTCGATCCAGTACTTTTGCGTGGTCGTGTTATCCATCACATCCTTGGAGTCGGCGAGAAGGGACGGCCGAGACACGTTCCACTTGTAGGCGGAAAACAGTAGAATGTCGGCGCACGAGGAATTCATCTTGTAAGACTTGCGCGGATGTATCGTCTCCTTCTGCACGGTCTCAATTTCTAGCGCGTCCAACTCTTGATCGAACACTTGGCAGAGATCCATCACGATCGACTCGTGCACCTTCTGCCACAAGTGAGCGCGGAATATCTGGATCAAGGAGATCTTCAGAGTCGGTATTTTCCCGTGCATGAATATCCCCGTGAGATCGAGCTGCACCTGGAAACCGACGTAAACGTTGGCGCGGTTAATGGTGGGCGACCACCACAGGGTGAATCGACGATTCGGAATCTGGTTGAGACCGGAGCGTTGAGCGTTTGTCAGCTTCTTGTACTTCATGGATTCCTCGAAGCCGGATGCCTTCTCCCAGAACAGACCTTCCCACGTCGGGAAGTAGGTACCCTTGAAGAGGGTGTGCTCGAGGATGCCCTCGACACCGCCAAGCGCCTGGATCATGTCAGTTCGATAGTTATTCAGATTCCACAGTTTGCCGTCGTGACGCTGGTGGGTCCACCAAAACGGGTTTTGCTTCAACACCTGATACTGCTTGAACTCCGTGCGAATGCGCCAGCCCTTGTCGTAAGCCAGCGTGTGCCGGTCCTTCTGGAACAGCGTGTTTATTCTGGGAATGCCGCGATCCCAGCTGTCCTCGAGGTCTTCCAACGTGAGCCTGCGATTCTGAGCGTTAGCCTCCTGCCGCTTCAGGGCGTACTCCGCCCAGACGCGCTGAGAATCTATGAATTCCGATTCCCACGGTTGTATGTAACGGTACAAGTTCGGGATCAGTTGATCCTCGTCGTGGCTCATACCCGAGCGAAAATGAGTGATGCCGACGTCGGTTTGCTTCGACCATCTCAAGTCTGACTGCGGTATTAACACGTGACCCATCGACAGCATCCCCAGACCACCCAATTCCTTGGGCGTGTAAAAGACGACGGGCGGGAAACGCGACGGCATTTTCGAATTCAGTCCGATCTTGATGCGAGTCTGAATTTTGTTTTCGCACTTGACCAGCAGATCTAACAACTCCTGCGTGTTCACCACCGCTTCTCGGAAATAAGTCATTAGACCGATCAATGCGGTATTCCACTTGTTGACAATTTTCGTGAAAGTGGTCGAGCCCGAGGCCATCAGGATTTGTCTGACGCGATTGTGGAAGCGCTGCAAGCTCTCGTCGTCGACGCGCAGGAAGCACTGCGCCGTTCTCTCCTTCGTGATTTCGTTCTGGAGATTCCAGACGCCGTCCCGATGCGTAAACTCCTCGTGTGTTGTTCTGCACTTGGGCAGAATCCTGCACTCGAAGCCACTCATGTTGAACAACAAGTTGGGATTGTCTTTGCTGTAAACGCTGACGAAGCTGTTCTCCCACTGAATAGTGGTGGTGGAGCGTGGTAGTCGATTCTTGATGTCCCAGAAAACGGCGCGGCCTAGATTCACGTCGTGCTTCATCAGCCTCATACGGGCATCTCGCGGCCAACACTTTTTATTGTTGTAGCCGACGATATTCTCGTTGTTTGGATCAGGATGCTCGGTGAGATAACGCTGG